CATACAAGTGTACATTTCATATTACAAATAGATCACACTGCGACATCGATGATGTGGTCGCCGTACCTGTGATATTCGTGGGAAATATAATGATAATAATTATTCAACTTTTCTAAGAAAATGTTTATTTTCCGAAAGTAAAAACAGATGATACAAAACCTATTATGACAATCACCCTAATTAGTAATCTTGAAGTAAAACATGACACATATATATAAAGCAATACAAATACACTTACATTATCTTGGGATCTTTCATCCACCTTGTTTTAGATTGTAATATTCCTATCTCAGTGATAATTACAATATTACCTATTGTGATTGAACTCACCGTCGTTCCTAAATGATTGTATACCTCCAATTTGAAGCTGCTATAATATGTGCTATAAATCATCTCAGATATTTCAACAGAGAATTTGGAAGGACATAGTCTGTACAGAGTCGTATTCACGCACTGACTGACTGACTGACTGACTGACTGACTGACATGGCCATGCACAGCTCAACATGGCGTCTGGCGTGTGCGTTCGTTTTGCGCATGTCTGGTCACACTCACAGGTCACAAAGATGTCTCATGAGGATATCAATGTGAATTATTTAGTTAACGTCGAAGAGATGTAGTTTGAAGAAGTCGCAGTTTCCTGGTTGCGATGTCACCTTGCGACGTTGATATCGAATCTACGTCGATAAGATGTGTTACCCAGATTTTGCATTTATTCAAGGTTGTTACATCACACAGATGTCGATGTCACACGATGGTTGGCTGGGTATAAATAGTTACTTTTGAAAATTCCCGACATACGTCAAAGATTTACTGTTTCAATCGAGAATATATTCCTCCAGGAGTAGCTGAATCCACCCTCAACGATTAACCTACAAACAGTATTTGAGGAATTACCTTGATAACTTAACTTATTCTACAGACCCCTTGGCCGGCGCGATCACCTGAATGGACACCGCTGGAATTTTATTATTGGGCATGAGTTGAAAACTTTGTGTACGCAAATAATTTTGATAATGAAGAAGAAGCAACTGTAAGAATCTTTGTTTAGAAAATAAGGGTTATAAGGTCGAATTTGTTATGAGTAAATTAATGTTCGTGTTGTCAAAGTTTAGTTATCAGTAGTAATATCCCTAGGACATTGATAATAGACGAGATAATTTTATGACAATCGAAAGCTCGTCTGTTACCAAGCAACGAGCTTGAGAAATTTGACATAAAATTATGAGGCATTAGTGAATGTCCGAGGAATATTCGGCGGAAAATATTTTGAAGTTGTCATAACCGATCGTGTTGTCATAGTGATTGATAATTGCACTTGATGTAGTTATCAAAATTCATTTTCACTTATGATATCACGAAAGCTTCAATTATTTCCGGAAATTTTTTCGAGAACACGAATTTTCGATATTTGATGGTTTTGACATTCGAATAGTAGGCTTTGTATGTTTCAAAGAATACGTATATATATATATAGTATATTTTTATTTACATATGTCATTCTTTATTTCAAAACTGGAGAGTAGGTATATCATAGTGTTTATATGAAGATTATGGTTGTTTGTGATGAAACGTAAGAACTAACGTATAGTAACAACATGTGTTTTTGTATATTTCGAATTTACAAGTAAACCTACATAATATTGCTAAACTGTTGATAAATGATCTTCATTTATTGACTTATATAATGAACCCGAAATAATCTGAGGTTGAATGTAAATGTCATTTAACCTATAAACGTCAAAAAATTTTCAGTGTAATTTCATGCTCCGTTCCCCAAGGAGGAAGAAACATTTTCAAGAAATTTGTTTAGTTGCTATGGTAACGATAAGAAATACAGACTTTAAGTTGATCGAAAATGGTTGGTGTGAAATTTTCAAGGTAATTATTCGTGTAAGAATCCATTAACAAGAAACATTACTTGAAACGATGCATTGAACAATTTAGTGAAATATATATTTATTACTTTCAGTATTGAATAACTACACATAATGATCAGTATTTGGAATTCAAAAAAACATTTGATGATGGCAAAAATAAGGTCGAAACACATTCAAACCACGTTGAGTAATACATGTTTGAATAGACAAGCTATCAAAATTTCTGATGATAATCAGGACCTCATTAAAAAAAAAATGATGATGATTCTACGAATACGAAACGTCGCGTAGATTAATCAATATGACCACATTAAATCTCATCAAAAGTGGCTATTGAAAACTATTTTCGGTTTTCCTTCTCGTTTCTCTAATAATAACGTAGAAAAAAATAGAATATATTTTCCAAAAATTCACTTAGATATGACAGAAAAACTAAGAACAACTTTTGAAATTTTCGAAGGTCGTTGGTATGACCCTCTGAATGCGCAACTTTTTCCCATTCAACCGAATTCGTATCTCCTTCAGTTTCTCAGATCTCCATGCTACAACCATATCGCTTGGTCACACTGTATACCCAACCTAGCGTTTTCTATTTGTGATACATTTTTTTTTAGATCTATGAGATACAATGCTCGATTTTTCATTCATTTTATTTTCAATAATAGTACAGCTCGCTTCTCTCAAATGACAGGTAATCTGGGAAACTCAAAGCAGATGAAACCAACTTGTACGAAGAGACAAGATTTGATTATCAATAACAGTTAATTAGATGCCTTGGCATTACATTTTGCCACTGTGTACCTCGAAACCATTTTGAATACCGTTACATCACATCTTATTCATATAGTAATTCAATGCATAACATGTCATCACCCCCAACCGCAATAATGCTGTCATACGGAAGCACATAGAACATTCCTTCCATTCAGAAGATGAACTTTGAAATACAGAAACTCTTGTGCCAAAGAAGATATTTTTTCTACAAACGTCAAAAAATGACAAGGTTCGCGCATTGATAACAAATTGCGAAGTGACACTTTTTTTCAGTTTCCTACGTTACCATGATACCTTGCACAAAACAATGCGCAAAGTAAAACAGTGCGCGAAGTACCTATTTCGCGCATTGTTATGTAAAATATATGAGATATTTATATTTCAACTTAATGGTCATCAATCGAGCAAACATCCACGAAATCATTTATTTCTGAATGTTCGACAATAACTTTGTTTTATCTCTTGTGGAGCGCACGAAAGGAAATTCCTATTATGTTCGTGGAATATCGTGTGTACCTAGGGTAGAGAGGTGGAGGCCTTTTGAGCCAGTTCAACACTATTTTTCATATCAAGCTAAGCATATTTTCACTTTAGAACTATATTTTTCGACGTTTGTAAAAAAAATGTTGTTTGCAACTCGAGCGCGAAATACTTTGGTCATCTCGACTATTTTCTTAACTCGGCTACGCCTCGTTTAAAAAATCAGATCTCGATCACCAAAGTAGCATTTCGCGCTCTAGATACAAAAATAACTATTTCTCAATTGTCTCGAAGTTTTGCAGTCGGGTGTACCTTTGAATGTTTAGGAGCTTCTGGAATATTCTATAGAACATTATAGAACACTGAAACATTCTCAAACTTTAGGAAATTTTTTTTAACATTCTACAAATTTCTTCAACAATCTCGCGAATATTATTGGACATAAAAATTACGTCATATTTCATTGTGTCATACTGATGTCATGGTTTTCATTCGTTTTCTAGAGAATTTCTAGGAATATACGGCATCAAAGACCAACGAGTTCTTCAGTTTTCAATTCGAGGAAAATTATCATTATTCTTATTTGAGTCAATATTTGCCCATGACTGCAATGTGATCACAAATATCGTCATATTTCATATTGTCACTTCAGTCATAATGACAACCAAATGGGAGAATCAGATGCTTTGGTCACTTTTTCGCGTCTATTCTACCAAATTTGAGTTCATCAACATCGTGAACTTTGCAGTCAAACTACTATAGGTTCATTCACATCTCCTCAACACTGACTTCATGAAGTTTTAATTGACTACGACTAGTTACTCATACATATAGGGTTGCTAACTAATGTCAGCGCCAGTATTGGACAAAGGGGTCATCAACCGAAATTGCCATTGAATTTGCCGTAATTTGAAAATCAATTTGTATCTGCTAGACAGCATTAGATTTCAGTAGAATTATATAAAATATATCAAGAAGATATAAGAAAGTGGAAAGTTAAATGGAACTGGGAATCATTTTCAATCAGACAATATTTGAGGTTTCCATTCGTAAAATTTGAGATCTTCGATAACTCACAGGACCCACTTTTTTCCACAATCTGTGCAATATTCAAGTTTTCGAGAGCCATCATCAGTCACTTTTTAGTAAAATAGGCATTGATTATCTGAGAACGATTTGGATAACAACCATTAACCCGCGAGGGACCGCGCGGGGTATAAAATACCACAGGCGATATCAAATTACGATTTTTTTGCTTAATCTGCACGGCACTGAAAAATCACGCCAACTCAGTTGCTAAATATAATCAATTAACAAATTTTTGAATGTATTTCGTCATTAGTTCTGCATACATCGTATTAAACAGTTGTTGAATTGTTCCTGGGGTATATCCATACCCCACGCGGAAGAGACTTGAAATCTTCTATATCTGAATTCGTGTCTGTACAAATAGAAATTCAACCTCGAAACGAGCATCCTGCAATCGTAGTCAAATATTCATATTATCCAGGAGAAAAAAAAATTTAGAAGCAATTAAAAAAAGGTACGTGCATATATTATTTATTCGTTCATTGAAATTCATTTATTGACTTCAATTCAATTTAAGTTTATCAATCAGATTACGTTTTTTATTATTGTTGTTTGTTTATTTTATTATTGTTATAAATAATGGAATTCCACAGCGGACAACGGTTTTTTTCGTCTGAAAGTCCTGAAATTCAATCACAACCAATGGTGTAGATTACTACCCCAAGCGGTCCAGGTTTACGTTTTTATTGGCGCGGTCCCTCGCGGGTTAATAGGTAATGATAGGGCGTGTGATATCCATTTCAAGTATATGTCACTACGAATTCGTTCAATTGGTAGTATCAAGGCAGCCTCAGACATGAATTAGAATTAGATAAGCATGACTCCGATTTGAAGGTCAAAGTGAAATACAAGGTGTTTCATTGAAGATGAAAAATTTCACTTTCAGTAAGATCAGAAGTTACTCAATAATGTACGTAATTATTCCATCAGAATAGACAGTGTCCTTCACCCAGCGCTTAGATAAAAATTTCCAGAACTGTACCATAATTGGTTTGAAATATTCTTGTGATAACAAGTCATTGGAGAATATCATGGACTCAATAAGCAGCCAAGAATAAAAAATTTTGACTTAAAATGGAAATTATATTGAAAATTATATAATGTACAGTTAAAACTGCAAAATTGATTTTATGTGGGAAATCACCTCAAATATCACTCACGACATTGTTCACTTATTAATACTACTGTAGTATTCCTCTTCCAAATCATATAGATCTGCAGCCATATCATCTCGCAAAGACATCAATTTTTGATCACATTCTGCCTGTTTGGTTCTGCAACAAGAAATATTTTTTATTGATGGTTATACACATACATTGACAAAATACTATATCATATTATTACTGAGTTGCACCGAACCGTCGTACTGAGTGGTTTTTATAGTTCTCTCCATCCTACCCTCAATATATTATTTGAAGAGATAGCGCAAATCGTTTCTTTTGGAAATGTAAGGGAATCAACTCGTGATTAAGACTAGAGGGCTATTACATGTGTTGATAAATCTAATTCTATAAAGCCATTTTTATCAACTGACAAATGCAATTAGGTACGCCCTCTAGCGGCATAGCGGCGGCATAGAAACTTGACAATAATTTCCAGAGATTTCTGATGGCTACTTTTATAATGAATAATTTATTCTAAACGAGTGGGTCAAATGGTTCTCGAGATACAGCCGGAGACCATTTTTAGTAGTATACCAGGTACAAGCTGATTCATTCTTTATGGTTAGTCAAATTGGAAAATTGAATTGGTTAATTATTCTGAATATTAGGGATCTTCGAATGGATGAAAAGATTTTCAGCCGAAAGTGGGCTGCAACTTCGTTGGTTCAAATAGAACATCATGTATTTTAGGAAATAATCCCACAGTTTATTCAAAATGTCCTCCAGTCCATCCTCGACTGGATGACAGAAACAGAAATGGAAATTGAAGTGGTAGAAGCCAAGAGGTGTCAAACTGAACAAGAGAACACTAAATTCAAAGTTGGCGCTCTGTCAAACAGTTCATACATCGACCTTATGCGCTGTGAAATGGGTTATACCCATGTTTCAGTTCTAGTTAATGGTTCCGGTCAACCCAACCCAATCCAATGTCCTTTTCCTTCTACGCCGAACTGATTCCTCTTCAGTATAGAAAAAGCGATGATGAGTTCTCCTCAAGCAAAATTATCGGGAAGTAAAATACCTCAATACGGATTTTCGGGCGAGAGGTGCTAGAGAGGGATCACCATCAGCTAACAAAAGCATAAAGATAGACCTATGTAACATCCGTGGTTTAAGTAAGAACATCAACGAACATCAACATTGAGCTCATCAAATATCTGGGAAGCTCAGGAATCATTAATGATTGACTAAGCCAGAAAATGTTGATAGACCAGAGCAGATGTTATCCGCTTCCAAATTACATCATGGTCAATTTTATCATCATTTTAGGCTTCATCAGGTTCCAGATTCCATGGGCATACGAGTCTGGTGAGATGTTTGGTGACCTATATGTATGCTTAGTCCAGTCAGTACATTGAATTTATGATATCAAGTTGGAATGTATCTATCTTCTTGGAATTAACATCAAACTTCCAGTGTCAACAGAAACAGTAATTCGGGTTTAATAGCCAGGACAATCTTTCCATGAAGACTGTTTTACATAATCCTCACAAATGCTTACTCTTTCCGAGTCCATGAAAAGCATTCAGCAAAATACTTACATTACCTTCCAATTATTCGAGTTATAATACTTTCATAACAGGCAATATATCTATATACAGGGTGTCCCGTAAAGACCACGTCAAACCTAGGAAGAATGTAGATCAAAAGATAAACCACCTGCTATGACAAAATTCCTATTATAAAAGTCTTACTGTTTTCGAGATATTTTTTTTTTCTTGAAAATAGTGGATTTTTGCCCATTTCAATAGTTTTGTTTGTGAGGTTGGTACAATTTTACACCTTTTTGGTTCATTTTTTCAGTAAATATTGCTCAAGAATGATTTTGACGTATACATTAAAAACATGAACACTTTGAAGGGGGGCTGTGAGAAATATTTTTATTGAAAACTTTGGTACTGGATATTTTCAACAAGAAAAAATCTCGAATACGGTGAGACTTTTATAATGGGAATGTTGTCATATGCAGGTGGGTTATCCTTCGATCTACATTCTCCCTAGGTTTGACGTGGTCTTTACGGGATACCCTGTATATTAATATCAATATCAATAATAAAAACTAAAATTAAAAGTCTGGCAGAACTATAACATAGGAAAAATAGGAAACGTGTTGTAATAACGTAACCTTGAGATGATGAAAGTTTAGAAATCAATTTCCTTGAATATAGACCAAATTCCATGAAAATAATCATTTCAATAAATCAAAAATGTTCTCAATAATTGAATATTTACCTCTAATTAGATATTTCTCATGAAAAGTTGTAGATGATCAAAAATGTGATTACTGGACATCCACACGAGTTCATTTCATGGTGGCCAGAGGCAGAAAGGAACGATTTTCAATTTTTCTTTCTCTTTTCTACTTGACAATCAAAAATTCAAATGTCCATGTCATGAAGGTCAAAAAATCATAGTATCCAAATAGCCAGCATCGATTCAACCGTTGCATTAACCGATACCAGGTCCAAATGAATAATCAATACAGATCAATAAGATGACGCTGACGGCATACTGCTTAGATATGTTACTGTCGCGATCCTGCTTGTTGAAGGCTGAACATTGAACTACTGGTTGATGCTACATGAGACAATGGAACAAGAAAAAGAAGAATTAAAATTACAATTTTGAACCTTAACAACTTCTTTGACATTTCAACTGAATATTTTCAAAATAAACTGAAATAGTAAACTTTCATCAAGTCAACACAACATAATGCAATTCAATCTAATTTATGTAAGGAATATACAGAATGATCTCCGACGAATGCCAGTAACTCGCAGCTCCATGAAATCTGTAACAGAGAAGCTCAAAATATCCTACCAAAAGGGAATGAAAATTCTCAAAATACATTCAGTGAAAACCAAAATTGAATCAATCACTCTGAAAAGGTCTGAATACTTGGTACTATCAATATTTCCTAGAAAAAGTAATAGTTACTAAAATTGGATGTTACAAGATAATCATCTGATCTACAATTTTTGTCTTGGCTGATTTCATGATTGAACTCACCATTTCGTTCAGCAAAATCGCGAAAAAACCGTTTCTGTGACCTTTGGCCACGAGTGAATTTTTTTCTAGGTGTCAGATCAATGGGGACATTTTAGATTTCATTTATGATCTGGTGCCCGGCTACCACAGGCTGCAACGTACTAGAAGGGGAACCGATTATTATGGCATCAAATTTTTCAATGCTCTACCGACAGATGTTAAGCAGCTAAATCTAAATAGCTTCAAATCTAAAGTCAAAAACTATCTCCTAAGAAACGCCTTCTATTCCCTCGAGGAGTACTTCGAGAGTGACTTAAGGACATTTTAGTTTTATATGTAAGACCTATTTTGATATGTAACACATATTTTAATATGTAAAATGTGTGTCGTTAAATTCACTTTTTAATTTTCAAGTATTTTCTTACTATATTATTATCATTCAAACAAGTTCTATACTTTATATACCCTATTGACCTGTAAAAGCACTATGTGTTATACTTTACCAATAAATAAACTAAACTAAACTATGATGGTGTTTTGAACAATTCTTCCAATTTTCAGCAGGATGCGAATTTTTGTAACCTTGGATGTTCAAATTGACCAGATTATCATGGTTAAAACTAATATACTAACGAAATGTTCTACTCTGACAATGGAATTTTCGAAATTTGAGCCTACCGAGGTGGACGTAGTTTGCCATGAGTACTGGCCACAAATGAAGTCATCAACTTATTTAATGTTTGAATAGCTTTAAAAAAAATCATCATCAATGATTGAAATGAATAGGAATTTACAGGAGCGATGAGTTGAACAGTCTGTTATGTATCTATTTTCGGCGTACCTAAAATGTTCATCAATTGATTAACAATTTCAATTTGCCATATCTCTACTTCTGAAGGTCTTGCTAGGTTCAGAAAGTTTCTTGATGTGAGCTATTTGAATAGATCAGAAACAATCATCTTACCATTGAAGGAAGTGGAAATAGCAAAGTAATGTTTGATAAAACTGCACAAAACAGTTGCAAAAATAATGTAAAACATTGTTGTTTGTTCAAATAAATGAACGAAATTCGGTTCAAAACGAAAATTTGTCATCGAGAATCGATGATGGTCTGATTCTCATTTTCAACAAATGGTAATTTAATTTCAATACCTGATCGAATTGACATTTTCATCGGCTGTGCAGTAGAAAACGAACTGTATGCAGAAGTTTCGAAAAAAAACAATGTTGGTGGACTCGTCTGAAGGAAGTCACACACGAAGTGCTCAGTACAGTACTCAATATATTCACAGCAGATCATCCAAATCATGTTCGAGAAGGTTGTTTATACAGGGTGTGTCACGACGAGCTCACACTATCTTTATATCGAGAATAAATCGCGAAAAATCTATGAAAATCTGCATGCTTATATCTCGGAATACGCTCTTTTCATTTAAAATATTTTCGACAATGCAGTGTTGCCGCTTCTACTAGAAAGTAGTAGCAACATCGATATTTCAGATGGAACACACTGTATTTCATCGCATTTTCAGATTCTCCCTGAAGAGGTGATTTTATGGATATATCACACTTTGGGTCTATCGAAAAAGATTACAGAGATATAGGGTGTTCAAAATCGGGATTTTTCAACTTTAGGATTTTTTGTAGTAGTAGTAGTAGTAGTAGTAGTAGTAGTAGTAGTAGTTTTATTCTGTGTGATAAAATAATTATATACATTCGTCAGGCACAATATACAATACAACATACAATACACATATCAATAAAAAGTAAAATCAAACAATATATACAATCACTGATAATACATAAATTATTCTTAAAAGCATACATTGAAATGTTTATAAAATTCTTCCATATCATAGAACACATTTTCTCTCAGAAAATGTTTACAATGATTTTGAACTTTTCCAAATTTAATTCTCTCCATTCTTCTGGCAGACTGTTGACACATTTGAGGGACTGGTATTTGTAGGATTTTGAATTTTTGTCGAGTCTAAAAAGTGGCATTTGGTAGGGTCTGTGTCTTGTTTCTACCTGTCTTGTCTAAATAATGATGATTGATTCTCTTTTGCAAATTTTAGAGCTTCCAGAATATATTTATTTGTAGTGGTTAAAATACGAAGCTCCTTGAACAAGGGTCTGCAAGGTTCTCTATAATTTGATTTTGATATGACACGCACGGCTCGTTTTTGCAGTAATAGTATTTTATTAGCATGTGATGAATTACCCCACAGTAGTATGCCATATGACATTACACTGTGGAATAGAGCATGATAGGCCATGACTATGTGTTCTTTGTCTATCATGCTAGTTAAATTTTTTAAGAGAAATATAATGCTCGCGAGTTTGCTAGATAGTTTGTCTATGTGTATGGACCAAGTTAGTTTATTGTCCATGTGAATTCCTAAATATTTCACAGAGCTATTCAGAGATGATATCATTGGATTCAAACTGAAGTTTAATATCGTAGTTTTTTCTTCATTTAAGGAGAGTTGAATTGAGTTGAAATAACTCTTTGCTTGGGAAATCATATCTTTCGATAGTTTACTCGTGTCTGAACTGGTTTTGCATGGTGCTATCAAAGTTGTGTCATCCGCAAAGATCACTCCTTTGTGTTCAATATGATTTGATATATTGTTCACGTAGATAATGAATAAAATTGGTCCTAAGACGGACCCTTGAGGTACACCGAAGTTTAGTGATCTGACTGATGACACATCTTTACCTTTCTGGACGTACTGTGTTCTTCCAATGAGATATGATTTGATGAATGATAGTGCAGTGCCTCTTATACCATAGCATTCCAACTTGTGGATTAACAGTTCATGAGATACACAATCGAAAGCTTTACTTAGGTCGAGAAACGTGGCTACCGTAGTATTCCCTACCTCCATCTGATCTGATACAAAGTCTACTAGTGTGATAAGTGCTTTTGTGGTGGACATGCCTGCTCTGTAACCAAACTGCCCAGGATTCAACAGTTTATATTTTTCCAGATACTCTACTAATCGGATTTTATATGCTTTTTCTAAAATTTTTGATAGTATAGGGATAATGGATATAGGTCTATAGTTATCAACTGAACCCTTATCACCTTTTTCAAAGATAGGTGTTAATCGTGATCGTTTCAGATTATCTGGAAAAATACCTTCTTCAAGACATTTATTAACAAAGTGTGTCAATTGGTCCAGTATGATATCTTTTATGAATTTCAATGCATCACTATTGAGTCCATAGCAGTCTCTAGATTTCGAGTTACTCAAGTCAGATATTATTTCCAGGATTTCAGATTCTGTAACTGGCGAGAGGAACAGGGAGTTTGGGACCCTATTTTTACTTAGATCATCTAACTCCTGGGTTATGCTGGTAGATATGTTATTCTTTGCTAATGTTTGTTCTGCAATATTTGTAAAAAAATTATTCAGTTCTTCACATGAAATTTCAATTTTGTCTTGTTTTTGATTGGTATTACGGTTCCTATTCACTATTTCCCATGCCGTTTTTTGTTTATTGCTTGAATTGACAATTTTTTGAGTATTTTGACTGACTATTTGTACCTTCACAGCCTTTTTATATTGTTTTTTGTAATTTACATAACTTTGTCTATAACTTCTATCCATTCTACCCAGATCATAGAGGAAATTGAGTTGATTACGGAGTATTTCAAATTTTCATCAAATACTAACTTTTTTGTCTTCTTGGTTTTTCTTTTCCTTAATGGAAAGCATTGATCATAGCTGCCTACAATATGATTTAGCAGTATGTTGGACATATTATTTGGATTTTCATTATTAAATTCATTCCAATTGATATTCAACACAGATTCTCTATAGTTCTGAATATTGTTATCATTGACTAATCTATATAGTTCCTCCTCTCTGGGACCAAATAATTCTTGTTCCATTTTGTATGTTAGATTTACTGCTCGATGATCTGATAGATGTGGTTCAGTCACCTGTACCATAGCTAAGTTTGGATCAATGTTACTGAAAAGATTGTCAAGTCTAGTGCAACATGTTCTACTTATCCTTGTATAATGTTGAACATGCTCCCTCATACCATATGTCATGAAAAGATTTTTCAAAAAATTAGAATCTGTTGATTGTAAAGCACAGTCTATGTTAAAATCACCAAAAAATAAAATAGTTTTATCTTTTGGTATTTGATTCAGATATTCTCCTAATTTATCCTGAAAAACCTGTGGATCCCCTTTTGGTGACCTGTACATACAGCAGATAACTGTTTTTGATTTATTTAAAGTTATAGAGCTCACTTCAAAATCTAATTCTCTATTAAATTCACTGGATGTCTGACAAACCTTATATTCTATGCCTTCTTTGACAAAGATTGCTGTACCCCCATGTATATGTTGTGATCTTGTATAATGTGCTGCCAAGTTATAATTTGCTATATTGATGAAGGTAGTTTGTTCCTGAGTTGTATCGAAACTATTCATTATTGGTAAAAACGGCTCACATGTCCCTATCTCAACTTTGAACATCTTTATCAAATCAGAAAAAATGTGCTATCGACTAGAGCTAAAATCATATTCAATGACTCTTTGGTGTTATCCCTTCTTAATTACTGTGGCTGTGTCTATGCCCCATTTCTGACAGAAAACTACCAAGTCTAAGATTCAAAGGGTACAAAATGCATGTATTCGATTCTATTTCAATCTGCGACATAGAGAAAGTACTAGTGGAATTATTAACAATATTGGGAGGATGAGGATGAGTGAAAGAAGGCAATTGCGTATTTCATCTTTCATTTTCAATATTTATAAAACAAAGTCACCTGGATATCTAAACAAAAAGCTCACATTCAGAAAGGAAATACTTGATAGAGATACTCGCTATCAAATGCAATTGAATATACCTCATCATACCACAAACTTCTTCAAAGGTGTGAAGTGAAATCACTAGTTTGCAAGCTTTCAAGAGAAATGTTGAATCTCAACTGTGATATGAATTTTTGCCATTACCTACTGATTTTTCATATATGCACTATTGCAGTACTATTGGTATGATTTCAAGACTAGGAAGGTCAATATCTAATTGATATATATGTGCATATACGAGGGCATAATTATAGTTTTCATATTTTCATTTTATTCAAAAATGATATAAAATCGCTGGTGAACATTAATGTATGATAAGAGTATACTCTACACCCTGAAGACAAAAGTACGCGGGGGTGGTGTGCCCCCAATCCAACCAAAATGTTCGGCAATCCTATCAACTTGAGTTTTTGTGAATAATAAGTTGAATTCACAAAATGCCGAAAATAAACAAATAACTTTTAATCGAAAAATTCGCCTTTTGGTCCACGATAAACAAATGAGACACAAAAAACAAGTTGTCCGCTCTCGGACTAACAGTAATGTTTTGCATATTGAAACAAGTATGCAATATCTTATCGAAAACTGATATTTTCTTACCTGAATAGTTTGGAGTTTTGAGTTATAGCCTCATTCACAGACGGAAAATCATTCAAAATCAGGTACTGTTTGATATCAGAAACTAATTTCATGAGAGATTCTCCAGCTCGTACAATGTTCGCTGCTCGAACATGCATTTCATAAGTATCCTGCTCACACTGTGTCATTCTTGAGAGTTGAGTATCATGCTCGCCCTTTGACAGCTTAACAATTTCTGTAAAATAAGGAAGTCGACTTCTTCAGTTAACTATATTTTCATGGGTTAGGAATTTCGTATTTTGTGGTTAGCTACAAATGTCTCAAATATCAAGTAATAAAATCAGCACAACTGTGAAAATTACTTGAATCGCATCAAAAAACGTTAACCTGTTAATATTAGAAAGTAAAAGAGAAAGAACAACTCTTTGGACCCTCCGTTTTTCTAACTACTTAATCATAAGTTACATTGACAAAAAAAAATGCATTCGACAAATTTGACAGTAATTGCTCCCAACAAATTTCATGGGATTCATTAATTTTTGTGAAGTTGCCTACAAAGGTGTCAAATGTGAAAATCAGCGAAACATTCAGAAATTATTCCATAATACAATTGACAAATAACATTTAATTGAACAGTGGCTGCTGTCAACAAATAACACAAATTCAAAAAGAGCTACAAAGGATTCCATTACGTGATATGTTGAGATTCGTGTTATTTGATGAGTATTTCTTGTAAAAGAACTTTGGAGACCGAGTTTGTTTCGCTTATAGCTTGCTGTCAGGCTACTGTATTCATTCACTAACTAATTTAATTCAGAGATCTTTCTCCTTTTTTATGTTCCATTAATGATTATAAGTTCATCTGAGAGCATATGCAAATGCGCCCATAATGTAAAAGTTAATTGTGACCAATGAGACGATGAGGTTTGGAAATGCTTTTGCGAACATTGGCTCTTGGCAAATGGGCCTGTTCCACTAAAATATTGATTTCATTATTTCGAAGTACTAACCCTACCTAGTTCACTGACCGTTTTTTCATCGAAGCTCTGTAAATCTTTTAAATAATCATTATTGTTATAAGTAACATCCTGTATATGGGCTGGATTGCATGGATGACGAGGAGAGCGGATATGTCAGGGTTGACAGGATTGATAGTTTTTGGAGATTATTGAATTGTATTAATAATCGAAATATATATTGAACGCCCACAAACGTTTTACAGTTCATAACATTGTTGAAATTCATATTTCATGACTTGAAAAATGCGGGAAAACGCGGGAAAACTCGGGAAAACGCGGTAAAACGCGTGACGTGATCTACCTTGAATAATCCAATGCAACCATACACAGTCCTTTTCTTTGTCCCCCCTGTTATTTTTTGAACAGGTCAACTGAAACAATTGAAACTTGGGGTGATGAAATTGGTGCATGAATACCATATTTTGGAGTTGAATTGACAGATGCAAATTTCAAGATGGCGACTAGGCGCCATCTGGGATAAAAAAATTAAATGGAAAGGGGGGTCTTGTAACAAATCATTTTCAAGCTCCTGACAAATACTTCAAAACCCTAGAATACAAAGTCAATAGATCATTAAAAGAGAAAGGATCTATGATCTGTCTGGTCCCTGTTAAGATGACAAATACTTCAATTTACATCAAGATACCCTAGTACTGTAGACACAGGTAGAGGGTTCACGCAGCATGCAAGGAAGGAAACCGAATCTGTAAGGAATCACTTTCATTCGATCTCAACCACCTTCAAGTGTGTTGTTTTTTGTGTATGCTTTGTTTTGCAAAGATGAACATCTTATCGACAGAGCAACTAATTTGCTTAGGTCAGGAAAATTAATAAACTATAGTATGGAGTGTAGAACATACAGTACACATCTCGGTACACATACATAAATCATAGTGGTATACAATTATTGTACAGGTATGTTCATTGAGAAAAGTTCCCTTATTTTGTCCCAATCACCCCTTGAATTAATGTACAAAAATTTGGACCACCCTGTATATGGCAATGACAATATGAGCTAACATATTCAGAAACACCAGTGGGACATGAGATAGGTTCAAGAATAAGTGTCAACCTAAAAATTTTCCAGAATCTTGCTGGATAGTGGAAAGTCCTGAAGGATCAAGATTTTTTCTTAGAAATTTTCTAGGAACAGTGAATGCGTTCTATGTAAACAAAACCAAAAACTCAAATCAATGGTATTTCATGATGGCATTGCTTAGGTTTTCTTAGATCCTTATGAAACTGTATGCCCCAGAAAAAATGAATTACACTCACCAGCAAGAAAAAACAGTCACCAAAAACAGTTTTTTAAGAGAAAAGATTCAAGTGTTCCAAGAAAGTAAGGATTTTTTGAATTTTCAACTTTCTGCTTCATCATGTTTCGAATCAAAGTATGATCCTTTTTTGTATTTTCTTAACACAATGGTTTTTGATTCATGTCAATATCTTACAAGAGTTTTGAGAATGTATGGAATTTTTCAATTTGTATTAATAATAATTCAGAACATATAAAGCACCATAGGAATGAACTGCAAAGGCCCATTCACCTTAGCCTTCAGCCTTGTTAGAGACCCTTCAAGATCTATGTTATGCCCTTCAAGAAGAATTTTAGGCAATTCTTCAAGACTACTTAAGAAATTTGGTCAATTTGATGACATGGCAGTTGAATGCTGCAATCCAAATTCAAAGAGGGCATACTTGTTATTGACTACATCAGGTCTGCTTTTTGTTTGTTTCTTGTAATGAAGTTTTTTTCCTTGGTTTTTTCAGTAAGTGCTGAGAAAATGGGGTGAAAATAAGTGATATTATTTCTTCAAGTTAGAAGAGGTAGAAAAAATGAACAATTACAACTTTCAGGTCATTATTAGATCCGGTGACTAATGAAAACCTGTTAGCCATCATTGATAGTTACATAATAAAAAGAAAAAGATTATATGTGATCAAGGTTAGCAGGTGAAGCTTTGGTTTGTAAAAACTAATAGAAATGTACAATTTCAGTTCTCAATATAGGTTTCTTCTATCAAAACATCATTATTGTATGAACAATCTACTCACATTATTCCATTGAGAATAATTCACTAAAGGAATCTGGGAAGGAACTGTGTTGATATGCTCCTTTCTTACTCATCATATAAATAACTATAGAAGAACCAAGGATACACATTGGGATTTCCAAATTTTGAGCTGATGCTACAAGTAATATAATATATTATTTTCCAGTGTATCCCATGTTTTGAATCTGGGTTCTTTACATCATAACTGAAATCATAGCCCAGCCAACTCAGGCCACAAATGCATTAGGGTGCTGACTGTTTTTTCAACCATGAAGCTGAATGTCCTGAGTACATACTCATTTATATAAGTCAAATGAAGGGGATACTTGGTCCAGTATCAACTTTAGATCAACAATTATTATAATATTATTGTGTTCATTGAGAACTTCACAACCAGATCCCCAGCTTTCTGAATATCACAAGATGATTGTTTCACTAACAAAGTAGCCTTTACAAAAATCAGCCTTGGACTCAGCAGTTGGTAAAAAATCATGTTCTAGGAATATAGTTACTTCTCACCTCACCTTCAAAGTTTTCCAGCATACTTTTCACATCATCTTTCAAGCGAGTTCTGTATGACTTTAGAAGGGCTTCTTTACTTTGTGGTAATGACCTGGGTATAGACATTATATTGTATTGAAAACAACTTATTTGTACATTACACACTTTCTGTCATGACCTCATCAAACTATATGTAATTTTAAATGACTATGAATAATTGATTAATTTCAACGTTTTATTGAATTTTATTTCTGTTGATGTTGATATGAAAGTTTATTTTCATTATTTTATTTACCATTTTATATTTGACTCCGTCTACACAACCGCCGCCGCGGTTGGATAATGATACTGGTACATAAACAACCGCCGGCGGTTACCTGCAGGCAGCTCCCGCATGGCTCCCGCACGCTACATCCAATATTCTGGCTGCCATCATTGTAACCAAAAATGAGGAAGGTAAATTAAATAGGCTGAGTCAAGTCATCCCATCAGAAGTTAACGTGGAAACTTTGTGGCAGGTTTGAAATGTGACCGATATTCCAAAACAGCTGGTTGGTTATACTGATGGTCAGACTTCATACTGAACGTATGTGCCCGGTCAAACCACAGACTTGACACAGTCTCACAGTCATGGTATCCTTCCCGCATGTGGAAAGAGACTCATTTCATTAGATAATTTAACCCAATTCGTCCTGAAGGAAGTAGAGTCACTGAATGATATCAGTAGATAAAAGTTGGAACAAAGCTGAACTTCTATTTTCTATATTACAAAGGTTTGAGTGATCAGGAAAATAATACATATTATATTCTGCTCTTAAACTTTTCAATTGCCCTAGTGAGGCTATCAGATTGTCAGATACAATTTTTGACGTTGAATTGCCTGTAAAATCATAGTCGTAGATGTAAAATTGAAATTCGATATGAACCTTTTCGCAACAATTATGAAAGTGGAAAGAATGCATGTAACAAAATTTTCAAACGACAAAATAGACACATATGAATATACTCATTATAGGGTAGAACGTTATGTGTTTATTTTTCCTATAGTCTCTGGATGGTATTAGTTTGATAGGAGTTCGGACACAGAAATGACAGCTGTCAGTGTTTTTGAATGTTCAGATTTATTAGATTACATACCTTGCATTGTTTCAAAAGCTTCATAGTCGTTCCGCATAGGGTCCCTTGATGCAAACTGACGTATTTGTCAGCCAATCTGATTTGACAAGGCATTAACTGGCGAAATAAAAATCGAACTGGCAACCCTGGTCCGCGCGGAGATAGTGAGTTGACAACAACTGTCATTATTTGCTGTTGTCAAATTAATCATTCACGAAATCCGATAGATTCCATGTGTGAATAGGACTGTGATGTGGATATAAGTGTTTGAGGTCGACGAAAAAATTCAATATGCACCTCGGCGAAAAACTGTTTATTGTCTCGCCTGATTGCTAATCTTCAATAGGCCTTTTCATTTAGTTGTGATTTTAACAGACATGCGCTGGATCTCAGATCCAAAATTTGGAGGGGTAAAGCGAAGTCTCATTGGCCATAGGTCCGACACAAAATTTGATTGGCCCATTCGGATTTATTGATTTTCTATCGATTGTCATTTGTCAACAGTGTCGACCACCAGAGGCGTTCGTCAACCATCGTTGCCAGACCTACTATTTTAACAGTAGATCTACTGTTTTTGTCTCCGTTCTACCACTCTACTGCTCTACTGTTCAAGGCAATGGCCTGAATGGTCATGTTATAATATGACATAACTACCTAATATGTAACAATGAATAATTATTGTGGCATCACAGTAAGAAGATGTATGATAAAAATATACCGGAATAATATATAATAATCATATTCAGTCAGATTAGTAAAAAATTAGATTTCATTTTCAGTTCGGTTGAGGATAATACAAATTTTATTTCTTATTTTATCATTTTTTGTTATCCTTTGTTCGATTTTTAATAGGTATAGAGATCAACCATAATCATGTTTTTGTTCAATATATAGGTTTCTATATTTTTTTCATCAATTATAATAGCAAATTGTGATGATTATCAAAATCTACTGTTCAGTTTTGATGATCTACTGATTTTTTTCTCACTCATCTACTGCTCCGGCAAATTTTCATCTGGCAACATTGTCGTCAACGTCAATCGTCATTGAGATTTGAGAAATGGCGTCTTGGTATTTTCGTTTCTAGTTTCTATATTTCATAATTTTCAATTACTATTCCTGGTGTGTATTGATTGTATTGTGATAATTCAATTAGGAATAAACGTGACTTATTCCTTACCGAAGAGTGTGGTGCAAGTTTTTTTGGTGAAAATGGTTTTGACATGTTTTGTTTGCAACGCGGAGTGGAGTAATAGAAATAATTTCCGTTCATTTCACAGGTGAGTTTGATACCTTCATCCATTCCACTTTTCCATCATCTTAATTATAGATTTCATATATGAATTGATAGACAGTGTCTACCTCTCGAATATTATTGAGTATATTTATAGAGGACAACATCTGGGGGAACAAAGAAAGATCTGGAAGAGTGGTAGTGGTGAGCAAATTATGTATCTGCTTCGTTCAAATCAAAAACTCAAGGAGCTTTTCTGACTAAAGTGCCGTTGACTGGATATTTCTACTGAGAAAATGTTCTATTATTGCATATTCTTATTAACCATTTATTTGTTCACAACCACTCTCAACGCTTTTCCACCTCCTTGTGGTCATTTTATTCTGTTTTGCTATTTCTAGTTATGGAATCATCTTGATTTCCACAATCTATCATTTTAGACATTTCCTAGTTATTGAATCTCTATTTCCACCTTTCACTTCTGACACATATATACTAATAGTCAGCCAGTCCCCATGATGGCATTATACTAATAATAATAATCTATTATTTTCTAAGAAACAAAATAATATACATGTTTATATCAGGAAAAACAGAACATAAATAATAATATAAGTCTAGGAGTTGACCTCCAAGTTAACTATGACAGTGTATCTCAGTTGATAGGTACATGATATAAAATGTAAATCTTCAAATAGGTGATCAATATCAAAAATAAAATTGATACCAATTCATAATGTCAGCTGGAAATATAAGAAGAAGGCAATTTCTGATTCTGATGGTCATGAGGTTTTCTGTGAATATACTCAATTTGGTGTTTCTGTACCAACAATTATTATTATCTCACTGGTTTGATATTGAAATAACATGTTCAGTAGCATTCAGAAATGTTGATATTCTTATTGCTGAGTTAGACACTGTTTATTTTCAATAAATATCAACAATCATTTTTGCATTTGTAAGTGAATTAGTCTATCAATATATTGATTGAAAATTCACAAGTCTTTCCTGAAATTGTAGAATTCCTATAAGGACTCTGAAAAGAGAAGAAAATGGGCAGAATTCTTGGAGCTGACTGACAATCATATCAATATGGATATAGAGTAGGTATACATGTTTGCACAGCTCATTTTCCAGATTATCACTTCATTATGAAACCTGGTGGAAAATGTTTGCTTGAAATGTATGACAATACCTATTCTGAGAGGTGGACCATCAATGAGGTGAGTAATTAATCTAACAACATTCAATTGTGACTCAATTTGAGAGACATTCAAAGGAATGAATGGATCCATCATCCATTCAATTTTTTTGGCTGATATTCATCATGCAATTTCTTCATTATTCATCCCAAAAAACATCCATTGTACCAAATAGCTTATAATATATATATATATATATATACAGTGTGTATCTGATGGATATCAAAACACTTTTTTTTTTATTGGATAGGTATTCAAAATGTCGCTTCCTCTTTTCAAGCACCCTGTATTTCATGCTGATGCAAATCGGTGAGTACAGGTATGTTTCAAGTGATTCTGATTCAGAATTCATCTTTTTTTTTAGTGAAGAACTATTATGATAAAAAATATTGCTCACTTATTCTTTTTCTTTTTTTTTCTCATACATTGTATATTTGAATGATGAGAATTGATATCAATATGTTTCAAGTAATTCTCAATAGTGATTTGTCATCCGTTCTACCTCAGTTATTCTACATTTTCTGATCACATTTTGAAGAAATAATGATAATTCGTTTTTTCAAACACCCTGTGTTTTGAGATGATGAAAATCGACACAGGTATGTTCCAAGTGATGCTGATTCAGAATCCATCATTATTTTTTCTGAAAAAAATCCATATTAGTACTTTTTGAAATATTGGTCCATGAAATTGATCACAGTTGGCCATGATTAGAGTCCAGGAATGAAATCACTCTCTTGTTGAATGGATATTTTGAATACCTATCCAACAAAAAACAGTTTTTCGGAATGGATAAGATAATTTTACAGGGGTAGTAAGTCCTTAAGGTATATGAATGACAAGATGTTGACACTTCATCAGTAGGGTAGTACGCACAAAAGGCCCCTAATAAATAGGTTGGGTTAGGATAACACTTTGTATATTTAATACAAGAATGACATCAATGTCATAGTTTGATAATATTCTGTATATTCTCAGAATATTATTTGACAAAAGATTCTGTGAATATGTTGAATATTATAATATTCTATGATCATTCTAAGGACATTCTATCACAATATTACAAAATGGGTATATTTGAACGTTGTTGTTCTAGAGTATTAATTTTTTTCTATATCATCAGAATATTTGCAAGGAATATTCCATTATAATGTTCACAATATGCTGAAAATATTATTTCATGAACATTCTGGAATATTATATCTCGGGAGCTTCCAGGAATGTGATTTCATAATATTATTAGAATATTCGCACCAAACAAGCCATGCATATTCGCAACTTTCTGAGAATATTTTATGAATATTCCTTAGAATATTCTACAAGATGACATTTCCGCAGCTTGGAAGAATATTCTGAGAATTTTCATGCCATCTGGGATATGAATATATTTCCATAGATTGTTGAACCATGAACAAAATAACTAATTTGTTATATGGAAATTTTTTTCATCCCAGATTCAATAGGGTTTGTAGAAAAGTTATAGAAGAGTGAGTATATATTCATGGCCATTCAAAATCAAGGAAGAAGAAAAGTATAAATATCTAAATGTGACAATTTTATTTCATCAAAGGAAA